TCAGAGTCAGGAAGGAACAGCAAATTACCTCGTCTGACCTGCTGTGTGACAGGCCAGGCACTGCATTCAGAAGCTAAAACCAGTTCCTGCTTTGGGCCAGACAAAACATTCTGAAAACAAGACTAAGCTGTTTGGTAGCACAGACAAGGGACACAGATGTCACCAAAGGTCAGAACTGATCAGACAAGATGTTCAGATGATTCCAATAAGCAAATGGAGACATAAATCACACATGTTTAGGGAAAAAAAAAAAAAAAAAAAAGTTACAAACTCCTATTGACAGGAGGTTACAAGGCCACCAGACCTCCTGGTACTTGTAAGCATCAGTAATTCACACATCAGTCTGGAGCTGGTAAAGAACTCCTGACCCACAACCAATATTCAGTAATCAGGCATGCACAGACTCTCTGTCCTCCTGACCACAACACAAACCATGGGGACAACACTAAACCACAGAGATGATCACTTCCTGCTTCCTCTATATTTCTGCTTTGTTCCACTGCTTGGTTGTTGTTTTGCTCACAGTTTACTCACATGCTAAGGATGCCTGGAAGGAAGGAAGGAGGGAAGTATTTCAAGTAACTTCCTATAATGTATGTGATGCAGAATTGGGATCCAAACATCATACCATAAAGAATGATCTCAGGGTGGAGACAACTTGATTCTGAACAGAGAATCATGGAATGGTTTGGGTTGGTTTTATCCCAGGACGCCCAAGTTGTTGAAAAGCCTTAAGGCAGGGGCTGCAGGTCAAAGCTCTGTTGTGAAACACAGCGTTGCTGTCTTCCATTCCATCCACAAATCACTGTGCTGGGTCTGGCTCGGGCAGAGTTAATTCCCCTCCCAGTGGCTGGCATGGGGCTGTGGTTTGGATTTGTGCTGAACACAGGGATGATAATGGAGATGTTTTTGTTATTGCTGAGCAGTGATCACAGAGAGTCAAGGCCTTTTCTGCTTTTCATACTGGGGGTGCATGGGAGGTTGGGAGGAGACAGAGCCAGGACAGATGGCCCAAACTGACCCAAGGGATGTTCCAGACCACATGAAATGGTGCTCAGTGTATTAGGGGGGGGGGAAAGAAGAACTCAGGGGGGTATGTTTGGAGTGATGGTGTTTGTCTTCCCAAGCCACCATCGCACGTGATGCCCTCCTGGGGGTGGCTGAACACCTGCCTGCCCGTGGGAAGCAGGGAATGGATTCCTGGTTTTGCTTTGCTCACATGTGTGGCCTTTGCTTTCCATGTTAAACTGTTTTTATCTCAACCCATCAGTTTTCCAGCTTTAACCCTTTTGTCTTCCTTCCTGGTCCTGCTGGTGGGGGTGTGAGGGGCTGGGGGGCTGGATGGGGCTGAACCACAACAATCACAAAACTTACCCTGCAGGACAAAGGGCCTCCAATTTCAGAACCACCTTCTTACCCTAGGCCGTGTTTCCTTTTTGCCTGTACTAATGCAGATGCACCAAAGGACACTGGAGTAAACCCCAATTTCTTCTTACTTGCAGGGGAAGAGAAATGTGGCATGGCAGTGCTGAGGTGTGGCTCACTGCGCTCCAGAGTGCAGTGAAGCTGACCATGTAAGAACCTGGAAACAGCAGTTGTTTATTTTCAGAATAGTATTTCTCCACATTCTAGGGGACAAAAACCCTTCAACTTCTACAATACAGCCAAAAAGAGAAGACAGGATAGTTTCTTTCTGAGGTGGAGACAACAATCAGCTCTAAAGAGATCCCAAGCTGCATTAACTTGGCCAAACACAGACAAATGCCAGCACACCACCAGGGTCCAGGGGAGCTAAAACTGCTCTGCAACTTTTACCACAAGGAACAACTCTGTAGGTAAAACTGATGGTGTTTCAGTTCTCCCACACTGATCAGCACAGGGGCAAAGGGAAGTGTTGTAAAGAGCCTGGGGTTCATCAGGTTATCAGTGGCTTCTCCTTGTTCTGGAAAAGGGGAACAGAAAATGGGATGAAATTAATACCGAGCAAGACTGACTTTTTAAAGTGTTAAAGTCAGAAGTGAGAGAAGGAAACCAGAGAGACAGGGAGGGGCAAAGGCAGCTCTTTATGACAATATCTGCTGATGGTCTCAGTGCTGCGCTGGCCATGCATGATGTGGCACCAGGAATGCCATGGCACGAACCTGGGATGTAACACCAGGAATGCCGTGGCATAACCCTGGGACCGGTTGTGAACAAAGCCTCGTGCGGCCCCAGTCTGGCACGTCAGGGCAGCCAGGCAGGCCCCAGACTGGCAGGAGGAGAGCGATGAAGTGCCAAGGAAGCCCTGTTGGGGACTGTTAGCCCATGACACCACAGGGCACCCTGAGCTCCCTCAAGTCCCAGCCCTGGCCAAACTCTGCACTCACAAGTGCCTGGAGAGCTCCTTGGCACCATCACACCCCCTGGGACACACAGGCAGCAGGTCCACTCTGAGGTTTACCAAACTGCCCTTTCCTGCAAGGAAACTCTCCCACAAACACTCCATAACTGTGTGCCCCTTGGCAGGTTGGTCACTTTAGGGTTTCCATACAAAAAAACCCCCCCAAATTTGGAAGAAATACAAACTAAGCAAAAGCAGCAAAACCCTTAAAGCAAAGGCAGTTTGGGGCGGGAGAGAGGGGGTGATCCTGCCTATTGCCCACTTTCCAAGGAAGAATTTCATTCCTAGGAAGAATTACATCTCTCAGTGAAGATATTACAATTAACACGAGTGAACCAAGGAAGGAGACACAGCTCAGCTCAGACCCAAAGCACACCCACCCTCAGCCTTTGTGAGCAGCCACAAAGAACATTCTGGAGCACATGGAGTGATTGGATCTCTGCACACTGCCTAGAGAAAGTCCAGAAGTCAAAAGCATTGACAGGAATTGTGGAGGCAAACCCGAAGAAGCAGCAGAAACATTCTGCTGTACTGCTGTGCACCTGGAGCTCCTGGAGAACAGAGAACTTCAGCCTCCAGGGATTGAATTTCCTTTGTGTATTTTTTTTTTAAATGCATTTCCTTTATGCAGATAAAGAGCATAAACCTGATGGATTTACAAATTTCACAAAGACACGGACCAAAAAAATAGATTGGCATATGATCAGGCCACACGTCTTCTTTTGGTTGCTTTGCACAGGACTGTAAAAACTGAGACACCTGCTCTCCTGACAGCACTGAGAGCAGTGGGCACACAGAGAGCTCTGCCACAGCCTTCATTGCTGGGTAAAACAAAGAACAGAATCATTCTCTGCTGCAAGGACTCCTGGGCTAGCAGGGAGGGCTTTAGGACCTGTGAGCTACTTGTTAATGTTTCTCCCTGCTAATGGGAAAGGTGGTAGGATAAGGAAAGCCTCTTCTGCAAGAGAAAGCCACAAAAGATTGATTCAAACTTATAAAAGACAAAGCCAGGCAGAGCATCCGATGTTCAACAGCACAAATGAGCACCAGTTTTAGCTCAAACAGCACCTGCCAGTGACTCAGGGAAACAGTACAAGTGCGAGTCTCCCAGTAAGACCTGAGAGCCAAGGTGCTCTCAGGGGGGATCTGCTGGGTACAGCAGACCTGGGGCTCAGAGTCACCCCAGCCCCGGTGCTGGAGGTGACACCCCCACGGCACGAGCAGCAGCACAACCCCGAAGGGCCCAGCTGCTCAGCCAGAGCCAAGGGGAGCTGTCAAAGCCCCTCCCTTGCACTGCGATTGCCCAGCTCGGCACCAGGGCTGCTGCCCCTGGCAGGAAAGATGCCCACAACCACAGAAACCACAAATCACCACTGGAAAAATAAGTAAACATGTCAGAACCCTCCGGTTTGGCAGCTCAGCCTGCCAGCTCGCTGGGCACAGGGTGGTCCCAGCACACAGTCCCAGGGACAACCTCCAGCTCCCCACCAGGCCTCGATAAAAGGGCTCTGCCCATGAGGGCACCCAGAATCACCACGAGGGGCTTCAGGGCCACCAGGAGAGGACCCAAAGGGCTCCAGAAACAGAATGGGGGGATCCACCGAGACCCAGGGCCACCGTGGGGGGACCTGGAGCCACCATGGGGGAAATCCAGGGTCACCGTGGGAGAATCCAGAGAGACCCTGGGCCACCATGGAGGAATTCAGGGCCACCATGGGGGGATCCAGAGAGTCCCAGGGCCACCATGGGGGGATCCAGAGAGTCCCAGGGCCACCATGGAGGGACCTTGGGGCACCATGGGGGAAACCAGAGAGTCCCAGGGCCACCACGGAGGGGCCTTGGGGCACCACAGAGGAATCCAGGGCTACCATGAGGGGATCAAGATCCACCACGGGGGTATCCTGGACCACCACGGGGAGTACCCAGAGGACTCCCAAGATCACCACAAGGGGATCCCGGGCCGCCACGAGGGGGATCCTGGCCCAGCTGCCGAGCAGCTCGCCAGAGGGCAGCCCCGAGCGCCGGGCGGCCCTGCCTCCTCCACCCACGAAGCACCCGAGGGGGCCGGCGGCGGCAGCAACAGCAGCAGCAGCACCGACCTCGCTGGTGAACATGGCGCAGAAGTAGTCGCTGCAGGCGGCCAGGACGATGCGGTGGGCCGGGAAGTCCTTGTGCTCCACGCGGAGGGTGACGTCGCAGAGCGTGTTGCTCTTGCGCAGGGCGTTCATGGCGTTGAGGATGGACTTGGCGTGGGAGTTGGTCATGATGTCCTTGGGGGGGGCCATGGCGCGCGGCACCTGCGGGCACAGCCAGCACGGCCACATGGCACGGGCGCCCCGCCGCCGCCAGGGGGCGCTGCAGCCCCGCCCCGCCCCGCCCCGCCCGCCCCTCAGCGCCCGCCCCGCCCCGCCCTCAGCGCCCACCGCGACCCCGCGGCGGCCACACCCGCACGGAATGGGCGGGTGGGGGGGGGGGGGAACGACAGCCCGGCTCAACCCAGCCCGGCCCGGCCGCACTCACCGCCGCGGGGAGAGCTCCCGGCCCGCACACCTCGCCTGCCCCCCCCACCCCAACCCCGCTCCGCCCTTCCCCTCTCCCCGCGCGGCGCGCGCCCCGATGGCGTCATCGCGCCGCGCGCCGCGGGCCACGCCCCCCTCCCCCCCGGAGTGCCGGGTCCCGTTGCCGGGCAACGAGGGGGAGGACACAGCGCCCCCCAGCGGCCCCCGCGGGGATCTGCGGGGATGGAGCGTGTCCAGCCGTGGGAATGGGGATGGGGATGGGAATGGGGATGGGAATGGGAATGGGAATGGGGATGGGAATGGGAATGGGGATGGGAATGGGAATGGGGATGGGAATGGGAATGGGAATGGGGATGGGGATGGGAATGGGAATGGGGATGGGAATGGGAATGGGGATGGGAATGGGAATGGGAATGGGAATGGGAATGGGGATGGAGCACCGGGAGCGGCTCCGGGAGCTGGCGGGGCTCAGCCTGGAGAAAAGGAGGCCCCGGGAGGGACCTCCTCGCTCTCTGCAACTCCCTGACAGGAAGGGGGAGCCGGGGGAGGGTCGGGCTGTACGCCCAGGGACCAAGAGGAAAGTTGCAGCAGGGGAGGTTTAGGTTGGATGTTGGGGAAAATTTCTTCCCTGAAAGAGCGGTCATGCCCTGGCCCAGGATGCCCAGGGCGGTGGTGGAGTCACCACGCCTGCAAGTGCTCAAAAAAAACCTGCGGACGCGACACTTTGGGAACATGGGTTGGTGGTGAACATGGTAGTGCTGGGGGAATGGTTGGAATCAGTGATCTTACAGGGCTTTTCCAACCTAAAGGATCCCGTGGTTCCACGATTCTCAGTTCTCTGCTGCAGCAGAGCCCTCGCAGAGCTGCAGGCACAGGCTGTGCGCTGCCCCCCACCCCCGTGTGCCGCTCCTGCAGCATCAATCCCTTGGAACCAGCTCTCCCGAGGCTGCTGGAGCCAAGCTGGCAGAGAGGCACCAAGAGACTGCTTTAGTATCCCAGGATTTTGAAACGAATGCTATTTTTTGATCTCTTCCCACACACGCATCTCAACATCTCCAGCAGATCGCCTCCAGCTGACAGCCCTGAGCCGCCCCCGCTCCCCCCCTGCCCTCGAGCTCGCTCCCACCCTGCCCGGGGATGGATTGAAAAACCTGAATCCATCCACACGGTCCTTGTCAACCTCCTGAGATAAATTCCCAGCTAAATGTAGAACAAATTATGACTTAAGAAATCTGTACATGAAAGTTAAGACTTTATCCTGGCCTGGGGGCAGGGTCAGTCTGTTTGGAGGCTGTCTGTGGAATGAGAATTTGGGGGATTTGTTTGACATCAGCCATGCTAAGCAAGCAAAGGGTTGGCAGTGCCCAGCAGCTGGAGGTGAGAATTCAGTGCTTAGCAAGGAGCACAGTTTGCCACTGCCTCCAGAGCTGGCAGATGCTCTGCCATGGGGGATCTTTAAATCAGCAGCGCCTCCTTCTCTAGGCCCAATTCAAGCAGAAATGATTGTGCTAGAGGCAGGTACCAGTATGTTTGTCAGACTGCATCATCATCTGGTCCTCTTGGAGCTTGGAGTCAGGAGGGCTGTGTGACCAGGCTGTCAGTGTATGAGAGACACAGGCTGGAGTAACAGAGCAAAGAGCCAGCATATGCCTGCCCTGTGCTCATCTCCACATGCTCCTCCTTTCCCAACAGACACACTAAATTAGCCTCTTCGTCCACCTCATGCTGATTTTCCAAGGATATGGATGAACTCTCTGATAGTGTCGAAGTTTGAAACAATCCATGGCTCTCCCACCACCTGAGGTGGTGCGGCCTCACCTCCAGTCCTGGGGGCAGTTTTGGGCACCTCAATGTAAGAGGGATCTGAAGCTATTGGAGAGTGTCCAAAGCAGGGAAACAGGGATGGGGAAGGGTCTAGAGGGGCCCTATGAGGAGTGGCTGAGGTCACTTGGTCTGTTCAGCCTGGAGGAGCCTGAGGTCAGACCTCCTCAGGATCTGCACCAGAGGGGCAGCTCCGACCTCTGCTCTGTGTGAGCTGTGAGGGAATAGCTGGAGCTGTGTCAGGAGAGCTTTAGGCTGGATAGCAGGAAAAGGTTCTTCCCCTAGAAAACAATTAAACACTGTCCAGGCTTCCCAGGGCAGTGGTCACAGCCCCAAGGCTGCCAGAGCTCAAGGAGCGTTTGCACGATGACCTCAGGGACAGGGTGGGATTGAAGAGTTGGAATGTGGTGGAATGACCTCAGGGGTAGATGGTGCTGAGTCTCAGGTGCAGCAGAGCTGTTCAGGCCAGCTCCTGTTCCCCCAGGACTTCCTGCAGAATGGCCTGACCCAAACACAGCTCTGCTGGTGACTCAGGTATTGTCCCAGCTGGGACATCAGGGGCACAGCTCCCCAGCAGGTGGGCTGGCTTGGCTCTCCAGCGTGTCCTGGAGAGTGTCTCCTGCACAAGGCAGGCTGGGGAAGCTGCTCTCACACTGCCAAGCAAACCTGGTTTTCCAAATCCCATTGAATACTCAGGGTCTGTGGGTCCTGTAGGTTGAGAACACTGAGATGAGGTCCCCACTAGCCCAACCCCGGGGAGCAGATTGACGGATTTTGGAATAGCTGAGGGTTCATCCAAGACAGAGAAGACAGAGCCAGGCCAGGCCTGTCTGCCTTCACACACCCCAGGGGCTCCCAGGTCAGTGTGAGTCAGGCACTGCTCTGTGCTGTCAGAGGAAGGAAGGTGTGCAAGAACTCTGGAGACACAAACCAGACGTGCCCAGGACAGAGCTTTAGCCTCAATACAGGCAGGACCATTACAAACAATTCTGATTTATGAAAAACAACAACAAAAAGTAATTTATTTGAATTACTTTAGTTATAAAATAGTTTTTGGAGGCTCATGCATTTCTAGACACAAAACTGATGTGTTTTATTGTTCATTCTCAGAGAAAGCATTTTATGTTAAAGATTCTGTTCTTAAAAGTTTCCTTTTTTTTTTTTTTTTCAGGACTCTCATCCCTTTGGTCCCACACTGGAATTGTTCTCCATGCTTGCAGGTGTTATGGGAGGAGGGATGATTTGGAGAAGGAAGAGGAAGGGACTGGGTTGACTGTGAGTCACTTAGGTCAAAATTGACAAAAGCCATCACAGGATTTGGGAACATCCTTTAGAGAATGTTCATCCTCTGGAGGACAACCCTCTAGCAGCCAGAGGCACTCAAAAGGCTACTGCCAAGTGCTTTCTGGCTTCAGCTCCTGCATGGAGCTGTTTATCTGAGGACCCTGAGTCTGTTCTCAGTCCTTGTGCTGCAGTTTCCAGGAGAAAAATACAGTTACTGAAAAATTTCTGCTCCTGTTGCAAGCCCTGGGTTAAGAAATACCTTTATTCTTTTCCTGTTCAGCTGCTCACTGGATGTTCTTCAGCTGAAAAGAAGGAAGATGTGATCTCTTATGTCAGAGAAATAACATTCCTGGAAAAACAGGCCAAGGTCTGTACACCCAGGCTCTCCTTCGAGCCTGAGCAGCAACAGGCAGCTCCCAATTCTTCCTCAGTGGTGGTTTACCAGTTTGGGATGGGCAAGATTATTGTGGCTGTGATCATGGAAGAACCCAGACTCTTTGATCCTCCACTTCTCACAGGGTAGTTTACAGTCTGGCTGCACTGTGGGGCAAGTCAGCTGGAGAGCTGGGTGACAAACTCCTGCTCCCTGTCAAGGGGAGTGGTAGAAGAGGGAACCAGCCTGGGCTCCATCCTTGAGAGGTGCCAGGGTTGTGACTGTCACTGTTGTGGTCCATGTTCACCCACAGCTCTCCTGAAATATTCCACAATACCTTCAACTCTTCCTTATCTGCTTTCTCTGGTTCAATACCCTCTACAGAAGTCTGTGAAGAAAACAGAGCATCCCCCCTCTGCTTTTCTGCTTTTCTGCTTTTCTGCTTTCCTTTTCTGACAAAAGGGAAGCATTTTTGTCCCTGTTTCTCAAGGCTGGAAGAGGTTTGCTGGAGCTGGGAAGAGAGTTGGGAGCCATCCAGCCGGTACAGTGTCAGTGCAGCAGCACAAGGTCCCTTCCCTGGCTATTGGCAAGGCTGGAGACACCTGATGATGATGATGATGATGATGATAATCATGATAATAAAACCCACCAGCAACTCAGATTAGTAACAAGACTGCAGCTGTCCATCCAGGGCAGCGTGTCTCTGTGAGTGCTGTGTGAAAATTGTGGAAGGGAGCCTTCCAATGAACCTCTGGTGCTATTTCCTAAATGTAGAGCCAGGACAGACTGTCAGAGGAGAAGGAGGAACCTCAGGCATGGGCCTTAAAAATTATTGGTGCTTCAGACTTGGGAGTCAAACAGGAGCCTTTGTCAAAGCTTGGATAGTTTCCATGATCTGAACCTTTCAGACATCCATGAGGACATGCTCTGGACTGGGAGGAGTGGTCCATGTGTGTGTGGGCACCAACAGCATGAACAGGGAGGGTAGAGGAGAAGGAGACACAACTCAATGTGGGGCAGGAATGCAGCTGGGGGTGATGGTCACTGCCTGCAGCCCAGGGAAGGAGTCAGAACATCCCCTGCCTGATATCCCCACACTGTCATCTCCCAGCTGTGCCTTCTCTGGTCAGAGAAGCAATGATTCTGGGCAGGGCCCATGTCAGGGACAGTTTTATAAGGGGCAACCATACAACACTGGCTGGAGTTTCAGTTTAGTGACAAGATGTGTCACCTGGAGGGCCTTGGCTGCTTTAGTGGGTTGTGATCAGCTGCACCCTGACCCCTCAGGGCTGTGTGTCTTCCAGGGCCACCCCCCTCTTCCTTTTTTTGCTGCTGTTTTTGTCTGTAGGGGAGTCAGTATTGCCCTGGATCACAGATGGACCATCTCAGGTGATCCATTTGGAATTGTTGCTGTCATGGATGGAAATATTGATGGCAGATTCAGTTTGTTCCCCCCAGGAACTGTGGGGTGGTGCCACCTTCAGCTGCCTGCAGCGTGGCTGTTGTACCCTTCCCTGCAACTGGAGTCAGAGTGGGAACCCTGGGATTACCATTGTCTCTTCTTTGTTCTTTGTGGCATAAAATGGGTCCCATGAATGAGACTTAACAGGGGAAATACTCACAAATCCAGCAT